TCTAGGCATTACACTTTACTTCAATATCCCTTGCTCCCATCCCCCTTCTTGGTTCCTGTTTCATGCATTAGGATAAGCATAAAGAATATATATATACATACAATTTATTGAGTTGTAAATGTGCTTTTAAGTATATTGTGGATTAAATTTGAATAGTACAACTGCTACAGTTTGTACAGTTACTCTTCCTCAATATATGCAGTAGTTTATATGTGATATAACATACCAGAATTTGCAGTTATTTTAGGGTTAGTTCCTTGGAAAAGACAGGAAACTGGGTTGAGGCCATGAGTGCTGAGTTTATGAGCTTTGTAAATTATCTGTTCTCTAGTCACATTACAATACTGAGCTTTAATCTATCTGTTCATCTGTATACCCCCTATACAAGTATACATAGCCTGAGGTACTGCAGATTCCTGATATCAAAGTGAAAGAAGAAAAGGTACTTTTTTTATATTTTGGTGTTGAAATGGATGCAAGGGCAAGACCTGCCTATTGGTAATGTGCCTATTATGTCATACTGTGTTTGCACGAAGAATTTTAAAGTTCATTTCCTTTACCTTTATTTATGATTTTACTATTGTTTGTGCTGTTTTAACATGTGGAAATATTAGATTGTATTAGACTATATTGGAAGTATATGTAAAATTAGAACATTTTGTAGTAAGAAAAGTAAATGGACTTATATCTATGATAATGCATAAGGTAATGTGTATGCCTATAATTATGAATGCCTCCCATGTGTGTATACCTATTTTCATTTCATTTTCATTGGGATATGTTAATAAGGGAACTCATTAGATGGCATCAAAGATATATGAAACTAAAAATGCCTCAGAGAACTACAGGTGGACTGTCTGATTAAAGACTTTCCTCTGTTTAAGTGTAGCTTAAGTGAGTATGGAAGTACCTTTAGATACCTTATAATAGGTACCTTTTTCCTTCTAACGTCATTCACTCTTCGGAAAACATGGAGATGATTAGAAGCCAGTGGGGATTTGCATTGCCCTTGTTCTGTTTTATCTCCTTTGCCTTTTTGCTTTTCCTTTCTTGTATTCTTTTCCTTTTTCGAAGACCTCCGTCCTCCACAGACTCATTCAAGGTGCAGAACCAGGAAAACTTGTGCACTTGTTAATTGGCATCATCAAAGTGTACCATCATCTCACGCAAATATGTCTTAGGTTTGTAGTTTTTATACAGATTATGCTCGTGATTGGTAGTTCACACGCAGTCATTAATTTCGGCACCAGCTTTAACTAGGATATGGCATTTCGAGAGTGCATTGCATAAACACTCATAATGGAAGCTTGTTGTTCTACCTAAGTTATTTTTGTAGTGTTGCTGGATGTACGTAGGTTACTTAGGGTGTTGTGATAAAAGTGCGAAGTGGGTATGTGTGAAGGAGGGTAACGTTTACCAAAATTAGGAAATAGTGTTTTGTAAAGGAGAAGGAGCTGCATTATTTTATTTATATACTTATTTTATATTATTATTATTATTATTTTTTTTTTACTTTTCTGTTGTGTATTTAGATGCTGTGAAGAGATTTGTGGGATAGGTTTTTCCTTATTAATATAAAACACAAATTAGCAAAGGATTCAAAAGAAAAAAGAAAAAAACCCAGAAAAATGGGAAACCATGATGTAAGAATGCAGTGATAAAGTAATGATAAGTTGTGTTCTTTATAGTGTAAGAATTTTGATACAGAATGTCTAAAGAAAATGAAAGGTATTCTTTAAGGAGAACCTGTCCTTCTGGGCCATAGGTCTGGGAGGGAAGGTGCATATTTGTTCTGACAACTAATGTGAATAGATCTGTGAATGTGTGAGTGCCTCAGTAAGTTAATTCCTTTAGCATTTATTTTCCACTCTGTTGAATATTATTGAAGTTTTTCAAAGTCAGTGTTTTACTGTTATTATTTTGTAATGTAGATGAATACTTGGAAGCTTTCTTTGGAAACAACGGTGCAGCTTCAGCCATGCTTTTGTTTAAAACAAAGCAACCAACTTGTTGGTAGAAAATGGAAAGATGTAAAATGAAGTCATTGTTTCAGTCTATTTGATTTTTTTTTTCTTTATTTGTTTGTTGGGATGGTGAATTACAATTTATCATTAGCATTTTTATCATTGTTTTTATTATTAGTAGTAATAGCAGTAGAAATTAATAATGATAAATTCTGTGGTCAGGATTAATTGAATCTCATAACAGTACCTTTCTGAGACTGGAATATCAGCTGGTTGAACTTATTTCTTTTTTGCAATGTCTTGTTTTATTCTTATTTGTGTTCAGATTTATAGATATATATTTTTTAGCTACTGTATATTTTTTTGAAATGTGTCCATAACCTGTTTTGTGTACTTTTTAAATGATGTGTGAAAAGTTATTTATTTTTGGGACTGTGTGAGACACATTTTCATCTTCTATATATAAAACCAAAACTTATTGTAAAAAATGCTTTTGTATGGTAATTCCATTTTGCTTCTCATTTTCTTTCTGATAT